TCTGTTTACACTGTTTATTACTCAAACTGTGGAGATTCAATTCATCTTCACTCTCTCTTCCCAACCTGTCAGCTGTCCGACCTCTGTGTGTGTGTCTGTGTGTGTGTGTGTGTGTGTGTGTGTGTGTGTGTGTGTGTGTGTGTGTCTGTGTGTTGTGTGTGTGTGTGTGTGTGTCGTACCTTCAGCACATCTTTGGGGAAGTCTTTTCCATCGTTGAGACCTTCCAGGTTGGAGATAAACTGACTGCAGGACATCCTCTTCCCCACGTTCTACACACACACACACACACACACACACACACACACACACACAACCAATCAATAAACCCTAAATCCTACATTTCCCATAATTCACCTGGATATACTCCTTTTGTCAGACCCTCGCTGACTCAAGAGGGTCCAACTTCAGACCTCATGTCTGGAGACTTTATTTAAAGGTCAGTGACATCTAGTGGTGAGCTAACGTTAGCAGCATCATGCTAACAGCCTCAGTCATATTCTGAGCCAGTTCTCCTGCAGTGAACACACACACACACACACACACACACACACACACACACACACACACACACACACACACACACACACACACACACACACACACACACACACACAATGTCTTCGACCGCTCCTCGCTGCAACTGGACAGCTTGTTGCCGCGGTAACAGCCGTCACTTCCTTAAACAAGTTAGCAGAAGTAGCGTCTCTGTGGTGAAGAGTTCACAGTGCAGAGTTTCCTCTGTGGTGATTTTGGAGCGGCGGCCCGCTGCTGTTAAGTTTCTGCCTCCGCGGTATCAGAAATGGGGCAGACGCACAATGTAGTCCCGGTTGCCTTTTAAATGATCCTGCAGACATAATGCCCCCCCGCTGGCTGCCGCTCACAGTGCAGTTTAACAACAAGTAGAACTATTCAGAGGTTATTGGGGCGGTCCACTTTAACTCCACATACTGTTGTGTTGATGGAGCTTATTGTCAAAACGTTTCTTCCAACTAGACTATTAAACTAACAGCTCCACCAAAACGTCACCGCGGTGGGTCCGTTTTCATTGGACAACGTTCAACTTGTCAGTTCTCAACGTCCTGATATCAAACATCTGGAAACATTACAACAGTCAATATATTTGTTTGTGTCGCAGCGAAGTGTCACTTCTGTTTCATACGTACAACGTTTGCTGACGGGGGGGGGTGTTCGGACGGACCTGCCCCCACTGCTAAAAAAATCCTAGAGGAAACACTGCAGTGTCAAAGCTCAGGCCGTCTCCATGACAACCCCCCCCAGGCACTTACTGATCAGTAGCTTCTGATTATTGATTATTGGAAGAATCTAGAGGAAGTTTGACATGAACTCACGTTTCCATGAAGGTCCGTGTTCAACAACATCACAGCACAGGTCAGAGTGTGGATGCTGTCTGAGAGACAGACAGGTGGAGAGAGACAGACAGGACAGAGAGAAAGTGTTTAAATCACGATACTACAGACAGACAGGTACCTTCAGTTGTCTCACTCTCAGGGTTACAGACACACACACAGACAGACAGGTACCTTCAGTTGTCTCACTCTCTGGGTTACAGACACACACACACAGACAGACAGGTACCTTCAGTTGTCTCACTCTCGGGGTTACAGACACACACACACACACACACACACACACACACACACACACACACACAGACAGACAGACAGACAGGTACCTTCAGTTGTCTCACTCTCGGGGTTACAGACACACACACAGACAGACAGGTACTTTCAGTTGTCTCACTCTCGGGGTTACAGACACACACACAGACAGACAGACAGGTACCTTCAGTTGTCTCACTCTCGGGGTTACAGACACACACACAGACAGACAGGTACCTTCAGTTGTCTCACTCTCGGGGTTACAGACACAGACAGACAGACAGGTACCTTCAGTTGTCTCACTCTCGGGGTTGCTCTGTCTGTATCTCCTGGAGAACTGGGCGAGGACTCTCTCTCTCTCCTGAGTTTCTCCCATCAGAGCGAACTGCCTCAGAAACATCCTGCACACAAAAAAACTTCCATTAATGAACCCAGGAAGCTCTGTGATTGGCTGCCTGTCACTGCAATGCATCATGGGAGCTGTAGTTGACCCATGGTGATGGGAACTGACCTGAGAGCCTGGTCGATGGTCAGACCGCTGAAGTTAAAGTTACTGAGATATTCCTCAGCGACCATCTGGCTGAACTCGTTGCTGCACACAGACACAGCAGATCAATACAACCGTCGTTATCGATCAGGATTATTGAATATTGATTACGTGCTGAGGACAGAAACACACTGACTTCTTCCCGAGGTGTCGAGCCACGTCCGACTTCCTGAAGCCGTCCAGGTTGTAGAGGCGTTTGGCGAGACGTTTGGCCGCCTGCAGGTCGGCCTTGGTGCCGTTGGCCAGAGCGTCGTCGCTACCGCCGAGCGCCAGGCGCTCCGCCACGTCAGCCTGCGGGTAGAGCAGCTCGGGAGGGCGGTTACCCGGGCGCTCCCTGACAACCACACACCCACACACACACCCACACCCACACACACACACACACACACACACACACACACACACACACACACACACACACACTATTTCAGTACTTTCAGGTCCTGTTTTCGTTCTGATGAAACCAGATTTCTGGTTCCTGTTCTCAGACTTCCTCCTTTAACATAAAACCAGTCACAGTGATTAAAGTTATTGATCAGCACGTTATCCTTCATCAATAATCAGAGCTGTCTCTAGCTTCAATAGTTTTAATGATATGTTTTTCCAATGTTGCACTGATGGTCATTGACAGTTTAAACCTGCATTCTTTGCATTGACCAGCAGGGGGCAGCTCCACTCTGATAGTATTGGGTCTTATGGACAATCTGTCAGCGTTGGTTTAAAGTTTCTATTTATTGTGGAGTTTTGTCTCTTGTGTGTTTGTTAAGTTTTATGTATTTTACAGTCTGCTGATTATCTCCGGCTGTAAATACTGTGGAGTTTGTTTATGTTACATACGGTCTGTATACACACAAACAATAAACAAGCTCCAACGTATTAAACACAGAAATAACCTTAAAATCAACTCAATCAGCCCACTGGGAGCTGAAATATGAGACTTTGTACTTATCAGAAATGGTTTCAGCCTCCTCAATAACTGTGAACAACAACATCTTCTGTAAAGAGCTTATTAATGCTGATTGTCCAACATATGTTTTGCCCACTCAGCACATTTCCAGCGCAGTTTGTCGACCACCAACCGCAGCGTTCACTGAACCGCGGTGGTGCATTGTGGTTTGATAAAAACACTGAAATTCTTCTTTAACCTCAGTTTTCACCATCAGATCCAAATTCAAAATAAATAATAAATCAATTATTGATCTGATAGGAACGAATGTGACCCTTGAAACCGAGGAGAGGTCTCACTGGACTACAGAAACCCTCTGGTGGTACAGTGGCGTTACAGAGTGGAGCCTCGTCCCTCACAGAGGATCTTTGATGAGTTTGGACACACAAACCGGTTAAATCACATTGATTATTAACAGCTGATCAGAGACAGTCGAGTTGTGATGATATTCACAGACTCAATAATAAAGAAATATATGATATATATTTAAATATAATAACAGCAGCAGGCTGAAGTGCTCCGGGACCGAACTGATCCATTATAACTCCGTCTCATAAATGTCACATTTAGACGTTTTCTCCAGAGTCAGCGCTAATCCACTGATGGTCGTCTGTTTCCATGGTTACAGTGCAAACAGGAACTTTCAGCAGTTAAACACAGAGCAGATTTAACTGGATAAAAAAACACCATCCTGTCACCCAAAGCACGATGGGAACAGAAATCAGCACTTTGGTCCAGACTGAAAAATCTCAAAGACATTTTAGAGCTTGTTAGCAAATGTCAGCATGCTAACACGCTAAATTAAGATGCTAAACATCGGCATGATGTTAGCATTTAGCTTAAAGCCTTTTATGTGTCTCTCTCATGTGTCTCTTCCAGTCCAAACAGCAGCAGGTAGCTCGCTACCACAAGGCTTCTCCAGCACTCAGACCAACAACAGATGAATTAACAACATGACTTTAGTCTTTTATCAGCCGCACACAATTTAATACAAAACTTTGCCTGCTGCCAAAGTCCATGAAGGTCTGCTCCGGTTGTGTCGGCCTCCAGGTCCAGCACACTACAGCACCAGATCATCAACTCACCTGGTGCTCTCTCTCTCTCTCTGTCTCTCTCTCTGTCTCTCTCTCTCTGTCTCTCTCTCTCTGTCTCTCTCACTCTCACTCTCACTCTCTCGATAATGTTCGTACAGCGATACTGTTCGTACAGCGATACTGTTCGTACAGCGATACTGTTCGTACAGCATATTCGCGATAATGTTCGTACAGCGATACTGTTCGTACAGCGATACTGTTCGTACAGCGATACTGTTCGTACAGCGATAATGTTCGTACAGCGATACTGTTCGTACAGCGATACTGTTCGTACAGCGATACTGTTCGTACAGCGATAATGTTCGTACAGCGATACTGTTCGTACAGCGATAATGTTCGTACAGCGATAATGTTCGTACAGCGATACTGTTCGTACAGCGATACTGTTCGTACAGCGATAATGTTCGTTGTGTTTTTACTGTGTAAAATAAAGTTGTCTGTGTTCTTACGATCTACTGTGAGTATCTGTTGAACATCTGTTTGTGTGGTTTCGTTAGCATCCTGACTATTTAACAAACTAATAATCAACAAGCTCAATCTGTCCTCACCACAAATCCTCACATCCAGTTAAATAAAATACAGCCGCTCAGCTTCACCTTCATCCTTTCAACTTATTTCAGAGGGTTCATTCATGGCTGTGGATGTAAACACGCTGTAGCACTGTGGTTGGGTTTCACACTGCAGTCTATTTATAACTGCAGTGGTAGCTGCTGATCGACCGGCGTCCCCTCAGGGATCAATACACTTCCATTTACTCTCAGTTGAGCCGGAGCCGAGGAGAATTCTCTTTAAGTTAACGCACCTCTCTGTTGTTAGAATGAGTCCGTTCTCCATCAGCTGCTCTTCATCGCGGCCTCTCTCCGAGCGCTTTGTGGAACAGTGAAAACAAACTGGCCCGCAGGAGGAAATGAAGTCAGAGTTGTGAATGAGAGTCAGAAAGTGGGAAGAGGTTGAACCACAGTGTGGCCTACGTCCACTTCCCTTAATGAACTCCAACTTCCCTTCAGAGCTTCGGTCAGGTGATCAGGTATTTGATTTAAAGACTCCTTAAAGGGGAATTTCACATAAAGCTCCCTCACTGCCTCTCTGACTCTTGGTTTCTTGTTTATTGGCTCTGGTACAGTTTCTCATTTTATTTCTATTATATTATATTTTTTATAAACTACTAATTATTTCTGGACTCATTGACACACTACCTTCCTGGAGTCACTGCTGTTTGTTGCTGAGATATAGGTTGACTTCAGTTCCTTTGGGCTCACGCTTTGCCTCAGTCTTTATGCTAAGCTCAGCTAACGGCTCCTGGCTATAGCTTTCTATCCAGCGTACACGATGAAAGAAATGTTGTTAAAGGAATATTCCGCAAGGTTTTCCTAGAAAACAACGTACAGACTCGTACAAATATAAAAATAACTTTAGTTTTGGCAAACAAAGTAAAGTAAAATTATTTGTCGTTGTCCAATTGAATGGAAGTTTTCCATTTAATTTCACTGGGTTTGAACGTAAGAATGTAAACTTAAGGAATTACAGAGAAAGATTATTATTATTAAATTATTATTATTATTATTCACTCTGTTCCCTACAGTCAGATGAACATCAAATCATTTGTAAACTAGGGGACGTTTTGAAGAATGTCTTGTTCTTTAGCTGAGTGCTATCATCTTATTCCTGTATCTTCTGTTTATTTGTTTATTTCTGTATCTTCTGTTTATTTGTTTATTTCTATATCTTCTGTTTATTTGTTTATTTCTATATCTTCTGTTTATTTGTTTATTTCTGTATCTTCTGTTTATTTGTTTATTACTGTATCTTCTGTTTATTTGTTTATTACTGTATCTTCTGTTTATTTGTTTATTACTGTATCTTCTGTTTATTTGTTTATTTCTGTATCTTCTGTTTATTTGTTTATTACTGTATCTTCTGTTTATTTGTTTATTACTGTATACCTTTAGGGGGAGCCACAGACGGGAGCACTCACAGGACACAAAGGCTGTTCCTGGTTAAACGAAGGCTGAATGAAACCCCAAAATACACAAATGACCCAGAAAGTGAGCGGCGCCGCGGCACGTTCGTAGTATTTCCATATTGAATGTGAGTCCGGATGTTTCTGTCCTTCCTCCACCAACACAACCCATTCATCCAGGACAGAAATAACCTCTTCACCAGCAGCCAGGGAACCTCACTCAACAGGCCGGCAGGAAATTCTTGTTTTGTTATTTTTTTTACCCAGCAGCCACCGGGGGGCCGGTCGATCTCCGACTGCCACTGAGTACAAGAACAGACAGATAACTCAACAGATGACGGTCTGGTAGTCTGAGAGAAGATTATCTGCTGCTTCTGACAGTTTCCCTGTTTTAGATTTAGTTTTCCAAAAATCTAGAAGAAGATATAAAAGTTCGGGAGCAAAAATGTGTTTTTCTACGACTGCAGATGTTATTTAACATTAAATCAGTTAAAGATCATCTGAACTGTAACTGTACAAAACTGTGAGCGTCTCACGCCGCTCTAATCTGTTAACTTTCCGTGTGCAGTTATCAATCTCTCTGAAATGAAGTTGTAGAACTTGACGTCGGCTTCAACACATTTTTCCTGTTGATTAGATTTAATCGTGCGGTTGCACACGCTGACTCTCTCCACAGGCGCTCTTTGTCCGTGTGATCGACTTAAGTATCACATTTTTGATACCAAATGACGAGACATCGTTCGATACTCAGTAGCCTCGAAGACAACTGGATGGAAGTTCGGTACCGAGCTCTAAAGGGAACCAATGAAACGCCTCACATCCATCAACAAACAGATGTACAGTTACATTGTTACAGGACAGTGTTTCATCCCTCACACAAACATGGAAATCTTTATTTCTACCATCCGACATGTAGGACGCCACCACATTACTGCCCAAAACACCAAACATCCATATTGACACAGAGAGATAGGAAAGCATGAACCAGATTCTCCAAATATCACTTTAACCACAGAAACAACAGATCCAGAACTAAAGAGAGCTGAGCTTCTCCCCGGCAGACTGACTTTGAGTCAGAGATCAAAAGAGAACGACAGGAAATAGGAACAAATCTAGAGAAAGACAGAAGAGAGAGAGAGACAGACTGTTATTTTCTCGGGTGTGTCAGTCAACCAAACCACCGACACAGTGACCGAATGTCTCACAACGGGAACATTTAAAGCATCCGGCTGCTGTTATTCTACATTCATGTTACTGTCAACAACATGTCTGTCTCTCAGTGCTGTCTGACTTCCTGTCTGTGGCTCACTGAGTGTAGTTCTATAGATTCATGT